GGGCCGCCCCGGGCCCGCCGGGGGGGGCGAACTCTCCGACCGTCTCTCTACTAGGCTTCAGGCTCTGATAAACCGTTCAACCGCGGTGTGATGACGGAGCACAAGTTTGTTAGACTTGTACTATGCCAAAGTAATGCCGCATTACTTGGATCGACCTCAGCGGCTCAGTGCAACAAGACAGGTTTTGCTGAGTCAAGACCAAGTTTAATGCACACGATTGAACCAGAATTGAGGAGCTTTCACATGAGAGATAGACTGTATGCAAGGATGTGAAACCCAAGCATCCAGAAATGAGCCGGGACCTTAGCAAGACGGCTTAGTAGGCCCAGACCGTCTCCTCAGGCTTCCGGCGGAAGTTCGTCAAACCGGCGTACTATGCCATGATTGCCGCCCCAGTTCGATAAACACGTAATGGCCCAGTCGTGTTGGTTTACGGCCGGTTGACTCGGCGCTATCTGACTGGCACGGCTGGCATGCGATCCGTCGTCCGATACCGGGTCCCCCCGCCGGCCGGCCGCCGCCGGCCCCCCGGCCCGCCGCCGGCGGAGAGCCCGGGATCATCATTCATGAGACCGTACTGCCAGGCTGTCTGCCATTTGCTGTAGACATCTGCAACCCGTACAGCTTCGGGGTGTGACATGTTGTACCGTACTGGGTACAGACAAGTACAGGATTTACTCCCGGACTTATTTGGCAGTGGTTCCGGGACTAGGCTCAGTACGCTCAGTGACATCACTGTAAGTCAGTGCGAAGCCTGATAAAAGCCTCGGACGGGCGAGGACAGGTGTCTCGATCGTGTTATTGTACAGATTAGAGATCCTTCCAGATGACTTCAGTCGTAGGCCTCCGATTCAACATATTCATTCGCGCAAGGATGATAGTCAATGAGTGTTTCAGGCCGCTTGCATCTCAGTGTGCATCATGATGAGAAGGGCCGCGCGTGTCCACCCTGCTGGGCAAAACCTTATGCTCTTGTCCTGCATCTGTCAGACACTTTGAGATATCTGCGAGGTGTTGTATTGAAAAGTGTTGACTAAACGTTTGATACGCAAATTCAAATTTCATGACCAATGCAATTTATTGGATGGTGCAAATCATATTTTGCTAATGATTTCAACATTAAGAGACCATTGTTTGAAAATCACGCAAACCTGATAAAAAACCCTTCCTCTCATAAAAGGGATTGAGTTGGGTGGGTTACCACCCACCACCTGTGATGCAGGTATGGTAAGGTGCAGGTAATCACCGACGGCAAAGGGGGTACCAGGGGGAAGTGAGGTACCGCAGAACGAACGGACCTACTCGCTGCATAACGGCTAGTTTTTTGAAGTACCCCACCACCACCAGCAATGTAACGGCATCGGCATGATTGTTGCCCCGCTTCAGGTGGTACCAGAATTCGATTTGAGCAAATATTTGTGGTACAAAGTGGACCTGCGACCCTCTCCCCTCCGCGAGGGCTTGATAAAGTCCCTCGGACACGTGAGGGTGTTGCCAGGGGTAGCTCCACGCTTGCGAGCATGCAGCGTGCGCGGGCATGTTGTCTCCAATGGGGGGTGAGATAGTTGTTTTCTTGCGTTTCCTTTTCTTCTCACAGACTTTTGAGCAGGCAGCCTTGCTTCTTTTGAGCTTGTTCGCTGGGAGGACGTTGGCAGCCGTGGTGACATCGGGAGGCGTGAAGTACACGGTCGCCGAGATGGCTCAGTTGCAGCTGGAAGGAGGTGTCACTGATCTAAAGGCGACCGACATGAAGATCTACTGGGGTTCCTTGGGATCATGGAAGTCGGGCTCGGACATCCTGTCAGCCAACACGGTGATCGAGATCTTCCTCCCCAGGTTCTCTGGAAGCTCCAACCTCTTTGGAGCATACAGATCGGATACCACTGAGAGCACTGTACAATGGCTCAACAATCCATCTGCATCTGTGAGCATCTCGGAGGTGATCAACAAGCCATGGGCTGCCTCGGCATCTGTTTCATCACAACAGGCGGCCACAGGGCCTGGGATAGCCGGATGCTATGGGATCGTGCAAGACCTTTCTTCCAATGCCTTTGATCTCAAGCAGATCAAGGCAAACGCGTTCTCCATGTGCTACTGGGACTCTCAGCGAGAAACGTTGCGACTTTACATGCCGACAGCTCTTCAAATCACCGGCGTGTACATCAACAAGGTGTCTATGTACCAGAACTACGACGTGAACGGGAAGCAGAACGGGCTTGGACCATTGCCACCGATAGGTGGCATTGATGAGAAATGGTATCAGCTCGCCAACGTTGCTTTTTACCAAGCGGAGGGAAATTCTCTTGGGTGTGCTGTATCAGACCTCACGAGCTTCCCTTCTACTCCATGCACAAGTGAATACCTGGTGTACCAAGTTCCCTTCGACCAGTACCGATCTGTGAGGTTTGGGACCGACCATCCTCCCATGCCTGTGCAGAAAGGAGCAGGTGGAGTCGGCACAGTAGCAGCGCCGGCGTTTGTATATGCGGCCGCTGCTGGAAACAACGACGGGCCCAGTCAAGATGTCTGCATCACAGTGACATTGATCAGCTCGGCGACAATCTACTCTGTTTCCGTGAACCCAACTCAGTTTCACTCACCGGGACTGTCGGGCTCAGCAACACGAGTGGCAACATTGACCTCTACCAGTCCAAATGCCAGTGCGAGGCTGGCACACCGAACGCATTCGTACTGCCAAGTTCCGATCAACAGGGACCAACAAGGTTTTGAATCAAGCTTATTTCGACTCTGCTGGAACCATGTCATTCGAGCTTGTACCTGGCAACTACATTCAGGCTGGAGAGGTGGTAACCTTCACGTTCAAACTCAAGACTGGATCCAATACTCAAGCTTCCCAGAGTCTCAAAGCTGTCTTGTCTGGACAGATTTGCCAAAACAACGACCTCTGCACATCTTCAACTTCCGTGTCTGCTCAGATGAGCAATGATGTCTCACCGTCTTCCAAGATCATCGAGGTGGTCGGCAACAAGCTGAGGACGTCGATCTTTCAGAGTTCCAGTGATCCCGGATCGCTTACGCACGTGTTTGTTACTATGACACCAAACTTCAATGTCGATTCTGGGTCTGTGATCAGTCTTCAAGGCCTCTGTGGAACCCAGACCAACAGTCCAAAGATAACTGTGATGAGCAATCGACTGAACGGTGGCATCCCTTTGACGGACATGTGCTCTTCTGCTGGCAATCCTACGGAGATTGATATTGGTGACCCGACCTTGCAGGCCGTAAGTCCCAAAATGGACTGGTCGCTTGGTGGAGCGCTGAAGATCACTGTGTCAACGATTATGACTGCACGCAACACGTATGTCTTGTCGTGGGACTGGCAGAATTCTAACAGTGGCAATGCTGCATGTCCTGTGACAGTGACAGTTTCGAAGGGCTCTACTGTTGTGAATGCAGAAAGCGTGGAGAACATGGGCAACACTGTTGGATACGTCGCCGCACCTGGCTTTATCAAGTACAAGATCGGACAAACAACCACTCGCCCTGATGTCACAAACTACATTTGCATCACCCTCCGGAGTAACTACAGGGTCTCCACGCAATCCAACAGTGCAGGACAAAACAACTTGGCGCAAATCACTCTGTCAGGGTTGCAAGGCTCACAGACTGTCACACAGCCAATCATCACAGCCTGCCCGTCATTCAACTGGGACACCATGACACTCGAAGCGCCATCGAATCCTCCCACATCCCACTTCATTGATGTCATCAATGGTGGAACGTTGCACAGAACTACCAGCTGGTCTGCAGGCACAACTGTCTTGACGGTGAATCAGGATGACACAGCCAACAACATGTTCTATTCCATCCCTCAACAGCAGGACATCAAGTTTGCGATCGTATTGAAAAATGCTGTGTCGGCTAATCCATGTCAGACTGTCTCATTGAGTTTGTCAGCTCTCGGTCCAGGAGACAATCAGTTCACGCAGAACGTGCAGATGGTGCAGAACTCGGTCGACAGAGCACTTCAAGATGGTGAAACGGATGGGGATGTGTGTGTGCTCAAATCGTACGCTTATGGCTTCCCGACCAGGCTGATATCGCAGTCAACGTCGTCCCCCTGATTAAGTACGTCCCGAGGACTTCGATCGC